ATGGTACAGCACTTTTTACAGAGCCATCAAATGAAGTTTTTCCAGTCACAAATAAAATTGCCCTGCCATCTGAGGCACTGCTACTAAAAGCTTTTTGATGAAGCGTAACCGGCAAAAAATTGAAAAATGCGAAAAAAATGTGCAAAACTAGAGAACGTGTAGGAGCACTACTAAAGGGAAGGAAGTCACTACGGAAACCATTAAATAAATGGATTTTTCAACCTGAATTATGCGCCATGATGTTCGAGATTTCATAGAATTTTCTGCGCGTTGCGTGGTCCACTGTTGAGTGAACTGCGTTCAGGGCACACCATCACACGGGGGATTTTCGAAAAATCTGACCCCGCTCTCCGAACCTGCTCATCTGCTACGACCCCCTATCGTACATTTTTTTCGCGTAGTGTGGCCTACTCTTGAGTGTCTTGAGATCAGGGGACCCTACCATATTATGGAAGGTATTTGCAAAATCCACTCCTCCCCCCCCGAATTTACTCCTACACATCTCCCTTTCCCACCATATGCCCTTGTCTCCTTGTCAAATTTCGTCGAAAAGTCGATAGAGAGGGGCATGCAGAAAATACAGAGCGCGTAAAGAGGAGGATTAGCAATCAAAAAAATTTTTTCCTGGCAAAATACAACTTTCGTTCTCTTTCACGCTATCAATGGTAAGCCCTGATGCCCTGTTTGTGATAAAGAGATTACTAAATAAGGTACTGAATAAATAATAGTAGGATAGCTCGAACAGGCTAAAATAAGGTTCAAACCTGTCTTTTTCGGAGATAAAAATAATAGCGGGACCTCACAGATCACTCAACCTTTAATTCGTCGAATTTCTCCCCGAAAAATCTCAGAATCCTCTAAAATTTTATTCTTTTCAATCATCCTCATCTCCCTATATTACGCTTGAACAGCCATTACTTTCAGACTTGGAATACCTGTCGTTGGCGAACAACTCCCTTACGCACGTCACAGCTGAAGCTTTTTCGGCTTTGCCTCACCTGAGGCATCTGGACCTCTCCAACAACAATCTTCTGTCACTACCGAAGAACGTCTTCAATAAATTAAAGAACCTAGAGGTCAGTGCCTTCTTCAAACCACTTAATGACCTCTGAACAAAAGCTGACAAAATCAAAATTTATGCATAGTGCTGTCAGTCAACGTTGTTCGCTGTTGACAGTTCCAGTAGTTGTGGTGATGTGTCGATTAATAATTAAGCCATCTGTCTAGACCTTCGTGTTCGAGCAATTGGTTTACAATGTGCTCGGGTCGCGCTTGAATAGACCAACCAAGGGTGGCTAATCCACCCTACAAGCAAACCCAACTAATAATAAACCATAATTTGGACTCAATAACAATTTTCAGACGCTGACTCTATCGAACAATGAGCTCCAACTATCTCCAGACACCTTTGCGGGATTGGCAGCTCTACAGCGGCTCGACCTCACTTCAAACCGATTGGCTTATCTGCCACCATCGGTTTTCCGAAACTTGAAGTCATTGAAGATTCTTGATCTGTCTAATAATAAGCTGTTGGCACTACCAGCTTCACTGCTCTCTACAGTACCACAGTTGAGGCATCTCGACGCCGGTCACAATCTGCTTTCTGATGTGAGTTTCTTATAAATTCTACCGTTTTTCTCATTATTGCACAACAAAATGATTCATACAAAAACGCTGATCCGTTATTGATAGTTGATTAGGGCAAGGGGCTGATTTACTCTCGTACTGATCCTTAATAAAAAAAAAGACAGAAACAGAATATCTTACGCCGCAAATAGGAACAAATTAACAGCTTCTGTCTTCGGAAGCTGGGGCGTTTTCAGTGGGGTTGGTTCGGCCTGTTCTCGGCCTGTTCTTCATTTAGAGCTGGCAGACGACTAAGGTATAGGCTTGAGTTGGCAACAGCACAGAGAAAGGCTTGGGTTGCGCCAAACACACCCTCCTAGGAACGCCCCAGTGTCCGCAGCGAACAAGACTGTAGTTCCACATGACTGTAGGATCCACCGCCAGGTTTACCCTGGGAGGATTTTCGACCAATCATGCGTACACGAGTGCCATCTTCAATCTAGATCGCTGAACTTTTTGAAGGAGTCAGTTCGAATTAAAAAATGTGAAAAGGAATCGTGCGGCAAAGTGCAAAGCGCGAGGTGCACCAGAGAGAAGTGGACTTGTCAAGATACTACCTTTGAAGAGAGATGACGCATTTCTCGTAAGAAGTTCCTCTGTTGACGGCATGCGCTCACCTCCTGCGAAGAGAGGCAGTGTGAGGGGCACAGAATCATGCGGCAGATCGTAAACTCTTTCCTGTGACTGTGGAGCGTTTCATCAAGAGTATTGCATTCTTGGGGATGTTCAATCGATGATAGGAAACTGCATTAGGAATTTTCTCTAAGAGGTAACTATGCCCCCTCACTCCATCCAACTGAACTATGATGAGTGCACGATAGTTTGCGTGTGCAACGCGAACGTGTTCCGTTTGTTTAAAGGCTCACTCCTCGACTAGCGAAGTTCAATCCCTATTTTCAGTTAGGTGCCCTGAGTCCGCAACCGTGAGAGAGGTGCCTTTTGCGGCTCGAATACGCGCGCAGAGCGGAATCTAAGCTTTCTGCCCGCGCTTCTGGTCCCATGCTCATATCACTATCAACTGCAAGAAAGAGAGTTTTATTGGGAAGGGTCTTGATGTTGTTTTTTGCGTTCTTCCTCACCACTAACTCGCTTGTACCCTTACAGTTGTTTCTAACTCCACTGGCTACGAACAACAATCGGGCAAAGAGTGCTGAAACTGCTCCCCAAATAATCTACAATCATATATGGATCTTAGGGAGAGGTGTTGTAGCGGCAAGTAGCGCGCACACCTTGCACATGGCCAGGGAACTGGATCGCGGATCGGTTCCTGCCCGGGCCAACCGAGCCTTCTATTCCTCCAAGGCCGATAAAGTGGTGTCTGACTCGGCGCTGTTTATCGACGGGGGGCATTCTGCTTTTCATAGATTTGCCAACCCATCTAGGTACCCTTTTTTCGAGTTGACACGTTTTAGGATGGTGGCTAGACGATCTTGCTCCAGCTTCACAAGCGTTCACAAGTTTTACCAGAGTGAGATTTGTAAACCGGAACCAGGGAAGCAATTATAATACAAAATGCCCCCGTCGATAAACAGCGCCGTCTGACTCGTTCGTGAGGACTAAACACTGAATTGTACATCGGCTGGCTCCCGCTAGACATCTTATATGTAGGTGGTATTCCATCCTAGATACGGAATTATCAGCGGTTTTTCACGTAGCCTTTGAGTGCTTCCCTGAACTCAACCGTGAAATTCTGATCGAAACTTCTGCAGCTCCCGCTAAGTCAAGAGTCTTCTCAAACGGCAGCGGACGAGCTACATTTCTCAATTTCCATTTTTTTTTTTCTGCTCGAGAGAAATGGACAATTTCGCCAGGGACATAACTCGCTCAAAATGTCTTCCTAGACGAATAAATGAACCGCTCGTGGTTGAGAATTCGAACGGCATCTTGACCTACATGAAGGCGAAGAGCTATATCTGTTTTATTTTGTTTAACTTTGTGCACCCGAGACACAGCACCAAGAGCACTAGCGACCCAGGGGGCGACGAAATTCACATGCAGAAAGGCAGCATTAACCTGTCCTGATGTTTGCGCAGGGCCGAAAATCGTCCGCAAGTTTGAAATATGTTCCAGACATTGACGGCTTTAGCGTTCATGTAGTTAACGCACGAATGACGCTAAAGAACAAGACCCGATTTGCAATTTTCAACACAGAAACAGATGCACTTAGCGGGCCTGATTGATGAGTGTCGATCGATAATTACTGTAGGATCATGAGCAGACGGTATAGGGGATTTATCGCCACGGTGACAATAGCGGCTATCCAAGCCGAATGGCATTTAAGCGCTATTAGCTAATCGTTGCGGTATGACTTTGACAAGAGTCAAGAGCTGGATTTACAATGGATTGGCCGTGATCAGGGATTGAGCCTTCCGCTTTAGCATTTCCGTGTTTCGTACATTTTTTTCCTAGGACGGCATTACTGTAGTTTTAAAGTGCAAAAGCCTGCGGCATCCCGGTTCATGAGGACAAGAATGCACAATAAAAACCACTTCTTGACTATTCTCTTGCCCTGGAATGATGGATAATGGGTCCACGGGCACGAGTGATCCTTCATTTCAGTGAATCAGTGATAGCCTCTGAGGACCGCACTAGCTCGAGCGGAACGCGATCCACGCATTTCGCTGAGGCTAGTGCGGCCTTCAGACAACACTCAGTCACTGCTTCTGATGCCATTTTGCCCCCAAGTTCGGCTAGTAGACCTCATCTGATGATAAGGGTGAACAGACAAGAAGATCACATAGGGAAGATAACAAACATTCCAAGCGCATGGCCATGTAGCCAGAGCCACTTGCAGCCCCCCCCCCCATCCACTGATTCGCTCCTCTTCGTGAAACACTGATGAGAAGGGCACAGTGGTCCGAGTGAGCCCACCCGTGAGAACAGCGTAGTATCAGCCCCCATCTTTGACATAATACTACCACTACTTCAATTTTGACCTAATATGTGTTTATTTCAGTTGGAAGCCGGACAATTCTCAGCACTGCGTGAATTGGAAACATTAAATCTCGCTGACAATCTTATCAGTGACATCAACGATGGAGCCCTGTTTGGAATGGACAACTTGACTCTGCTGAACATGACTAATAACCAGGTAATTAAGGAACTTTTCATGAAAGCTTGCAAAATCTGAACAGTTGTCAATTGCCCCATTATCGTTGGAATGCTATGCTGAGAAAAAGGAGCCTCATAATGAGACTGGTGCTGAAGAAGGCCCGTGTCACAAAGTCCAAGGCTTCTTATTTGAAGGCATATCCATTTGATCGCGCTGGTGGGATCACTCTTCAGCCCTTCCAATAATGGCAGCTCTCGTTGGTCGCTAAAGCCGGTGAGGCGCACCAATAGACGAAAGAAGCAATCAGACTAGTAGCGTCCTCATCCACGCCCAACGAGGAACTTGCTTCATTTTCGAAAGTTAGGACCTAAGCGACACTATAGCATGAAAATTGATAGTCAAGCTGTACTAATGAATGCGCTTCCTCACAAGCCATTAAATTCCCATAATCATTACCATTCCCCCGAGGCCCACTGGTCTTTTCACAAACACACCCAGAAATATTGTGAGGAAAAGACCCGTCGTTCATATCATACGTCTACGACAATACCAAAACTACTGCCTTTTCTTGGGCTATGCAAATGGACTTTCGCGACCAGTCGATATTCACACTCTAACGTTTTATATGTCACTCTAGACAAGTGTGACGAGATGAAATATCTCCTCCGGTCGCCTTTGTCAAGCGCCTTTTTCTGTAATATTAACCTAAATTTTTACCGGAAGTGGCACCTCATAGACAACTGTTCTGCAGATCGGTGGTCTGCAGATGTCTCTTGTGGCTGACACTCTTCGCCGTTCGGCGCCAGGCCCATTTCGTGCGCGAACGTAATCCAGTAACCATAAGAACAACTTTGCCCTGCTGTCAACAAATTTCCCACCAAACCTACCTTCAGAATTCCTACCTCTGAAAAGTACTATTTAAATAGTACAATAGAACGATTGCCCTTTCAGTGAAGTTAACAAGCAAGACTTTCTTCCAAAAAACATTACTCGTGACATTCTCCTTGTTTGCAGCTGGTACGACTTCCTGGTAACACATGGCCACCACTTGCCAAACTTCGTGCGTTGGACCTGTCCGGCAATCCGTTTGTCGCTCTCGAAACAGCTTCGTTCGATACACTTCCATCACTGCAGTTCCTCAATTTGTCCAACTGCAGGAATCTGAAGGCGATTCATGTGAGTTCGTTTTCATAGAATCGAACCATTAAAGTCGGAGAATCAGAACTACTAAGGGTAGAGGATATTAGGAGGGAGACGCTATTTGGGAAAACTCGCCAAAAAAGGAGCTTACAAATGTTTTCACTAGGAACTAAATTATCTGATGTGGATTGTCCTAGCATGCCAGTGACTAGCTAAATACCAGCAATTTCCGCGGATTGCCGTGTGTGGATCTCTCAACTCATTCCCTAAGCGTAGGTCATCATCTAGGTGTCGCTGGTGTAAAGGATAGCAACACTGTACATTCTATATCCTAAAGATGAAGAGGGCGTGACCATGTTGTCATTTGAACACGTGGACTGCGTTTTTCAAGTGCTTTTATGTGGGACAACTATCATGCTGTTCTGAGCTTGGATGAAGACATGATTGTAGTCGCTCCAAAACTTCAGTATCCCTGTAAGGGCTCAGTTTCCTCCACGTTTGAATGAAGATTCTTTCACGCCCTCTCCATCCCCAGGATATGGAGTGTAGCTCTTGGATGTACCTAAAACTTCTTCAGACCAGCCATTTTGAACCCTAACATTTTTCGAGAGGCGGAGGTGGTGTAGTGGCGAGTGGCACGCTTACTAATCGCGCGGTCCGGGTTCGAATCCCCCACCGTTATCCGCCCAGGTCAACCAAGCCTTCTAGCCTTTGGGAACGGTAAACTGGTACCGGATTCCGCATGCCAAATAAGGATTGTCAAACGGCGAAGACTTTATCCCTTTTATACTTTTATCATTTTGGCGTTAAACTAGATCTGACTCTAACCACGATTTTCATTGCAGATGGCCGCCTTTGTCTCAATGTCATCACTGCAGACGTTGGATCTCTCTAACTGTGCCCTGACGCACATCGCTCCAACCGCCTTTCAACCACTGCCACCGTTGAAAATGCTGTCATTGGCCGGAAATCGCCTTGAAACCTTGCCATCTTCACTACGAATCTCCACAGTACCGTCACTCAACCTTGACAACAATCCATGGGACTGCTCGTGCGAGTTACGAGCGCTTCGATTACCATCTACAGCTCTTGTGCGCTTCTCCAGAAGCTCTTAAAGGCGTACCGTTGAATCAGCTAGGATTCCTGCTCAATATTCCACGGGATGCTTCTTCCGTTTATGTTGAGCGTACTCGTTCTCTTCTTGATTATCATTTTAATTTCCATTCTTCTCATGAAACGACCAACTACTCCCCGTCGGTCCTCTCTCTATCAGCATCAAACGCTCATCAATGCCCTCTCTCATAAAGATTACGGTTTTGACAAAGCCAGTTTCTCACCGTACTGTACTAGTGACGAATCTCAAGATTCCGCCTATGAGAGCCCTACATCAGCTTTTCTGCCGCGACCGAAGGTACCGTTGCCACGGCCGCCGCCCAATTACAAACCACCGACACCGGTTTTACCAAATGAGAACT